TTTTGACACGGAGTCTCACTCTGTCATCCAGGCTGGAGTACAGTGGCACAATCTTGGCTCATTGCAACCTCCGCCTCCCAGGTTCAAGCGATTCTCCTGTCTCAGCCTCCCGAGTAGCTGGGATTACAGGCATGTGCCACCACCCCCAGCTAATTTTTGTATTTTTAGTAGAGATGGAGTTTCACCATGTTGGCCAGGCTGGTCTCAAACTCCTGACCTCAGGAGATCACTCACCTAGGCCTACCAAAATGCTGGGATTACAGGCCCGCGCTCCCGCACCCGGCCTAACTGGATATTTTTAATAGAGGATCCTCTGCCCAGAGCACTCCTTCCCCTCACCTTTTCCTTCTTTCCTTAACTAGCTAGTTCCTACCTTCCTTCAAGGGTGGCTCTATGAAGCCTTTGCTGACTCCTCCAATCTGGTTTAAGTGACTTCCTATGCCCTTTATGGCATTCTGTCTTACTACCATGATGAATACGATGCATTATCATTGCCTGCTAACTTATTGTCCAGATCGGAGTTAGAAATGCATCTCTTATTCACCACTGTACCTCTCTCTGGTAATATAGTAAGCACTAAATAAATATTTAGTGCATATAATAAGCACTAAATAAATATTTGTTGAATTAAGAGTCTTTAGCAAGAAAGTCAAGTGCCTTAAGCCTAGAGTATAGTTTCAGCCTGGAAAAGAGTAGCCAATAATGCCTAATGGACTCAAGTGGTCACAAAATGCCATCATTGAGAAGGGACGTTCAAAGATCACAAAACTGAATACATGGAAAAAGCTGAGATTCAGGAGGAGACCTGAGGTGTCCAAAGCCACAGAGAAAAGCAGCAACAGCAGCAGTACAACAATTTTGACTCAAATCTGACTTCTAAGCTAGTTCGCAGGCTGTAAGTTCAGCGCAGAAGGCCAATCTCTAGGGTATCCACCTCTGCCATGCGGGCAGATTAAGATCCGGTTTCTGTAGAGCAGGCTTGGCGCTCAGGTAAGGGATATGTATGGGTTTGCAATTGATGAGTGAGTGGATACAGAGTCTGGTTTTGAGTTCCAGGTCTGAGATCCAGTTTGGGTTGCGGGTTCAGGTCTCCCTCCCTCCCCTCCCCTCCCCCTCGGCGCACTCACATGCCACCCTGTGAATGACCCAGAAGGTGATGCCCACCTCCGCCAGGCAGAGGCAGGCGGCCACGAGCAGCGTGTAGCGCGGCTCCCGCAGCAGCAGGCGCCGCTCTTGCCAGGCGCGCTGCAGCCATTGCTTGCAGAGTCCCGCTGCCTGGGCCGCGGAACCGGACCGGCCGCGTTTCCGCAGCCCAGCGGCCATCTTAACGGTGCACCGCTTGTGTGGGCCCACCACCCGCGGAAACCCGAACCTTCGGCACTTAGGTTCCGCTTCCCGCGCCTGGCGTCCCACCAGGCTAAGCGCCGATGCGGGTAGCCAGTCTTCATTTACTCCACTAAAATGTAATTTTTCCTCTACATTTGTCTCCTCTGATGCACTCCACGCTCCATAGGAGCAGGAACAATGTCTTACTCCTCAGTTTATACCCAGCCCTAGGTACACAGGCGCTAATTTAGAACGAATGTCCAGAAAAGCAACATTCCTGCCTACCTCTGCTACAGTCCCTGAAGCCAACATTTTACTTCGCCTACGCTGGGAACATCTGTGTTCATGCTGTCTCTCCAGGAGGGCAAAGCCCCTGTTCGCGCCCCTCCTGCCTCTGCTTAGAGCCTTCCGGATGCTGAGAAAAATGAACTTTTCACTGATTTTCAGACTTCCTAATAAAAGTAATTCACACTGAAAATATGAGAGGACGCAGTGATGAGCCCACGTGAGTCTGACACCATGAATGCAGCTCTAGGAAATGAGTTGGCAATACAGCCGGAGGATTCAGGGTCTGGACGATGGTTTTCCCAGCCGGAGGATTCTTCAAAGAGCGCTTAGTAAAGGACGGAAGTTCCACGTGTTTGTGTTGAGCAACTGCAGGTGGTGGGCGGAGACACCAGGGCCCAGCCTTCTGCATCCTGCCTTCCGTATTGGCTGAAGGGCCGGCGGCTCTGGCCGTCCCCGCGGTTGAGAGCATGGCTTCTCCAGGGGCCGGTAGAGCGCCGCCGGAGTTACCGGAGCGGAACTGCGGGTACCGCGAAGTCCAGTACTGGGATCAGCGCTACCAAGGCGCAGCCGATTCTGCCCCCTACGATTGGTTCGGGGACTTCTCCTCCTTCCGTGCCCTCCTAGAGCCGGAGCTGCGGCCCGAGGACCGTATCCTTGTGTTAGGTGGGTAATCCCGGCGCGGCCCCGCCAGGTAGAGCTGGCAGGACCGGCGCCGCGCGGGCTTGGCCCGGTCCGTTTTCCTCCCGCCTGTCTACCCTCTTGGAGGACGCCTGAGTTGGGACGCGAGATCCAGCTCCTTCAGAGTCCCGGCTGTATTTAGTCAAGGCAAATAGAGTAAGAGATTGTCGGTCCCGGGGCCCTCGGGAGAAAGACACCCCCTCACGGTTTGAGCGTGGGGGGTACCCAAGAAGACCGTGTCCGGACCCTCGGGAGGCAGGCAGCCTTGGGGACCGAATTGCTCAGAGGACCTAGTTCAAGTCCTAGCGCTAATTGACTTGTGTAACTTAGGACAAGTCATGAACCGGTTCTGAGCTTTAGATTCAGTTCTAGAAATGGGACTGCGAGTTCACATCGGAGGCGGCACGCGCAGGCACCTCGAGAATAAAGCCCAGCGCTTTTCTTTTTACCCCTGGGCACTGGGAGCCAGAGTCATCTACAGAGAGTCCTATCTGAAACTTGGTCCTATGCCTTAGAGAGTGAGAACAGCACCCTCTAAGGGTGGAGGGGAGATTGCCGCCCAGGGTGATGCGATTCCCCAAAGGGAAGACGTGCTGGAGGAAAGGTAGGGCTCTGGGGTGTTCGGCTGTCCTCTTGAGGTTCTCTCCTGCTGTCAACCTTGGAGGCGCTAGTAAAGTTTGAATGAGCAACAGGTTTTCTTCCAATTGTCGTTTTTACTTTGCTCTTTGTAAAAGCCTTTTTGTATGTTTAAGTGACGTCTTTAATAAATAAAAGATATATGTAATATAGTACATATGTAAAGTATAAATAACAAATCTAATGTGTGTGTCTATTCCACTCAGTTTGAGAAATAGAACATTACTAGGGATAGAAAAAAAGTATAATTTAGTGGTTAAGAACTAGACTGGGCGCGGTGGCTCACGCCAGTAATCCCAACACTTTGGGAGGCCGAGGTGGGCGGATCACCTGAGGTCGGGAGTTCGAGATCAGTCTGACCAACATAGAGAAATGCCATCTCTACTAAAAATACAACAGATTAGTCGGGTGTGGTGGCACATGCCTGTAATCCCAGCTACTTGGGAGGCTAAGGCAGGAGAATCACTTGAACCCGGGAGGTGGAGGTTGTGGTGAACCAAGATGGTGCCATTGCACTCCAGCCTGGGCAAGAAGAGCAAAACTCCATCTCAAAAACAAAACAAAACAAAATAAAACAAAAAGAACCTGGACTGTGGGCTGGGCTCATGGTTCACGCTCGTAATCCCAGCACTTTGGGAGGCCAAGGTGGAAGGATCACTTGAGTGCAGGAGCTCAAGACCAGCCTGGGCAACATAGTGAGATCCCATCTCTACAAAAAATTTAGGTCAGAGTGGTGGCTTATGCTTGTAATCACAACACTTTGGGAGACCAAGGCGGGTGGATCATTTGAGGTCAGGAGTTCAAGACCAGCCTGGCCAACATGGTAAAACCCTGTCTCTACTAAAAATACAAAAATCAGCCAGGTGTGGTGGCACGTGCCTCTAATCCCAGGTACTTGGAAGGCTGAGGCAGAAGAATTGCTTGAGCCCAGGAGGTGAAGGTTGCGGTGAGCCAAGATTGCACCACTCCACTCCAGCCTGGGCAACAGAGTGAGACCCTGACTCAAAAAAAAAAAAAAAAAATTAAAAATTAGCTGGGTATGGTGGCCTGTGCCCATAGTCCCAGCTACTCAAGAGGCTGAGGCAGGAGGATCATTTGAGCCAGGAGATCCAGGCTGCAGTGAACTGCGATGGCTCCACTGGGCTCCAGCCTAGGTGACAGAGTGAGACCCTGTCTCAAAACAAAGCAAAACAAAAAACAAACAAAAAACCATCTTGGACTCTAGAGGCAGTGAATGATGTTGGAATCTTGGCTTAGCTTTTACTGGCTGTGTAATCCTGGACAAAATACTTGAATTTCTGTGCTTCCATTTTCTCAACCTTAAAAACATAAGCATATTTATTAGTTGGGCTTTAAGATGATTAAATGAGCATGAAGTATACCTAAAACAATGCCTGGCAAAATGAAAAATATATTCAAGGTTCTCTGTGTGGTCCTCCTAAAACCCCTTCTCCCCACAAGTAAACACTTTCTTGAATCTGTGATTTTAAACCATTGCACTTATCTATCAATTTACCATAGATCTATGTTTTCTCAAGCTTTAGTGTGTATCAAAATTACCTGGAGAGCTAGATTGCACTGTGAGATTCTAATTCCAGGGATGGTCTAATGTGGGTCTCAGGAATCTGTATGTTCAACAAGCTTCACAGCAGATTCTTATGCTGGTGATTGGCAGAGTAACACTGCCTTAAAATCTACTTGATTGGTTTTTCACCAAACTGATGCTTTAAAAAAAATCTGCGCCAGGCGCGGTGGCTCAAGCCTGTAATCCCAGCACTTTGGGAGGCCGAGATGGGCGGATCACGAGGTCAGGAGATCGAGACCATCCTGGCTAACACGGTGAAACCCCGTCTCTACTGAAAATACAAAAAACTAGCCGGGCGAGGTGGCGGGCACCTGTAGTCCCAGCTACTCGGGAGGCTGAGGCAGGAGAATGGCGTGAACCCGGGAGGCGGAGCTTGCAGTGAGCTGAGATCCGGCCACTGCACTCCAGCCTGGGTAACAGAGCAAAAAAAAAACAAAACAAAACAAAAAAAACTGCTTGACTGGGAACTATCCTTTTCTGGATAGGAAGGGCAAAAAGTCTAAAAACCAAAAGAGGAATTTCTAGAATCGCCAAGATGTAAGAACAGGACCCACAACTTGGGGAATACTCTACATTACATTCCACCTCAACAAACTTAAGTTGAATGCCTGATAAGAGCCAGAGAACGTGCTGGGCCCTTTCTAACTTACTTAATCCTTATGACAATCCCTAAAGGCAAGTCAAAAGTATTAAGTGACTTACTCTAGGCTAGGGGTCTGTAAACTTTTTTTGAAAATGGCCAAACAATAATTTAGGCTTTGCAGGCTACACAGTCTCTTTTACAATGACTCGGTTCTGCTGTTGTAGTGGAGAAGCAGCTACAGATAATACAAAAGTGAATGAAGGCCGGGCGGGATGGCTCATGCCTGTAATCCCACCACTTTGGGAGGCTGAGGCGGGCGGATCATCTGGGTCAGGAGTTCCAGAGCAGTCTGCCCACCACGGTGAAACCCCGTCTCTACTAAAAGTATAAAAATCAGCTGGGTATGGTGGCAGGCACCCTTATTCCCAGCTACTGCGGAGGCTGAGGCAAGAGAATTGCTTGAACCAGGGAGTCGGAGGTTGCAGTGAGTGGAGATTGTGCCACTGCACTCCAGCCTGGGTGACAGATTGAAACTCCATCTCAAAAAAA